AATGTTCGTAATTCAGGAGAATATTACAGAGATACAGGTTGCTTCTTACAGGTTTTAATTTGTCGTTTCAGCAACTTCTTGTTACACTCACTAATATCTGTCAGAATCTCCAATTGTTTATCCATCAACAAATACTTTATAAAGCAATAGGCTCATAATCCAAAGGTGCCTCATATCCAAGTTCAACCCTTATAGAAATATCGTACTAAGAATCATTGATAATTACTTATTATCCAGTATTTTTAATACTGAAAATAAGTAATTATCAATGATTCTTAGTATGATATTTCTATAAAGGAAATCCCAGTGTTAATAAGAATTTTTAAGGATGACATAACATTTGTGGAACCAAGTAATCTTAAATTTCAAATAAAGTCAGCAAACGCTGACTAATTTTTTATTTCAACCAATTTGCCAATATTTGTAAAAAAGTGAAACTGTTTTGCGCTTTTTTCTTTGTATATTTTATGAATATTCCGGAATATTTTGGAATATTCTTGGAATGTTAATTTCAGATTCTAGGAACATTTTATAAATATTCCAGGAATATCTAGCTTTTATTTGGAAAATGCTCATCCACGTGATACATATAAATTACGTGAATTCGACGTGGATATCTGTTTTCTTTTCCACGTGGATTCTAGTACCGTTTACGAGCGAATGACCCACTCGATGTTCCACATGGATGTCGACGTCGATGAATCACGTGATAGCGACGTGGATTCCACGTACCTGTTTTTGTTGTATGACCACGGATCCGATCAATCTAGGGAATTCTTTTAAATTAAGCGTTTGAGTGCTACTGCCTGATCCAATTGGAAATCTGACTAGTTATCGTAAACACCCATAAACAACCGTTGCAGTATTTTAAAACTACCTTGGATCATTCTATTCCTTTCCTTTGGAATTTACGTTAGAAATTTATAAAGTAAAACAAATACTATATGAAATTTCAGAGAATGGAAAAAACAGCGTTAAATATAAGTAAAATATAAGATTAAAATAATTTTAATATTAACATAATTTCATACAACATATTTCTTAATTTGATTTTTTAGGCTTTCGCGGTGTCCATGCATATTAGATTTGGTTTCCGGGTTTGAGCCGCGTGGATTCATCGAGTGAGTCCCAGATGCGCACATTGACAAACGGACGCATCCAATCATATGTTGTTGTTTATAGAGTCTCTAGAATATCTCTAGGCATACGGCGTTGTGGTTGGCTGTCCGTTTGTTAATGTGCGCATCTGGGACGCTTCCGATTCATCTTTGTTTGATTCCGACGCTTCGCGAACATTTCAGTCCCGATCGGGTCGTTCCTCCCTGACGAAGCGGACTAAAATGTTCGCAAAGTGTCGGAATCAAACAAAGATGAATCCACGCGGCTCAAACGCGGAAACCAAATCTAATATTTCTTAATGTTTTGTCATTTATAATCATGTTTAATATATTCCTTTGTCGTATTTTTGTGTTCATTATATCCTTGTCCTACAATTTGAATGAAAAAAAAAACAATAAAACGAAAAAAAAATTGGATGGCTCGGGGATTGAACTTGAGCCAAAAAGAAGACACACCGCACCTTAACCACCGCGGCTACTGAAACACTTGAGATTTCAGTTACACGCTTGGCCTATAAGTTGTTCGTAAATTTTTTTTCCGAAACGAAGAGGTATTGACAAAAATCCTTTTGCATAGAATGTACATTAGTGTTATAAAATAACCCAAAAAAATTTCATCAAAATTCATGATATCAGGTATGTGCGGTCCTCTTGTGAGATACTTACGTTCTAGGATTAGAAAGAGTTCCAACAATAAAAGCCATTGGTTTCATCTCTAAAAGACACAAACAGCATTTCATAAAACTAAAAATTTTAATTTAGACCGTCTATCTACTGATGATGAGGTATGCCTGATGCAGAAAATAAACTACATCACTAGTTATATTTTTTATCTAACTACTAGGTAAATTATGTTATATCCTCATTAGAAAAAGTGATGTCTAGCAACTAGTTTTAATTTTTTAATCAAAACTCATAATTATATAGTTTCTTTTATTATTAGTTAATATATTGCATATAGCTATTCGCAAAAGCGTTACATTACTGGTTTATCACTGTCTAGTTACACTAGCTAATAACGATGTGTGTGTGTTAGATACAACTTTATTTTACAGGGTGAGTCATTTTAATCTTAATCTGGAATATTTTGAAAACGAAACAAATGACAAAAAAATTGTTCAGACAGAAATCATATGGATTAGAGGGGCACGTGAAACGGTGGCATTGTTTGAAGGTCACGTAACAGTCATCTTCAATTTCCTAAATAGAAATTCCCATTTTTTTATTGCATTTTTAGATTGAGCTAATCCAAATGAACATCTCTCGTATTTTGATGATTTTTTTGTAAAATCAATCGTTTCCGAGATATTTGGGTTAGAACAACGAAAAATAGTACAATCGATGTCTGACTGTGTAAACCGCTCTTGGAGCTATCCAGGATCAACGATGTGGACGTGGCGATAATCCCTTCGGAGTGCTTGATTTCCGTGAGTCCCCTTGCCTCTCACGTTTGGGGTACTTGATATCGGGTGTATATCAGTTGGACACGGGGCAATTGGACACAGTCCAATCACAAGTCCAAGGGACCCTACAAATGTCTCTAATCACACGGTGCTGTGATTGGCTGTGTCCAAGTGCACCGCTCCCCTTGATATCCGTGAGTCCCTTTGCTTTTCACGTTTGGGGTGCTTGATTTCCGTGAGACTCCTTGCCTCTCACATTTGGGGTGCTCCAAGAGCGGTTTACATAGTTAGAAATCGATTGTACCATTTTCCACGTTCTTTTGACCCAAATATTTCGGAAACTATTAATTAAAAAAAAAAATTATCAAGATATGAGAGATGTTTATTTGGATTAACTCAATCTAAAAATGCAATAAAAAATGGGGATTTCCATTTAAGAAATTGAAGATGACCGTCACGTGACCTTCAAACGACTCAATGTCAAAGCAATGCCACCGTTTTACATCCTCTTTCAAACCATGATTTTTGTCTGAACAATTTTTTTGTCACTTGTTTCGTTTTCAAGATATTCCACTGTTAAAATTAAAATGACTCACCCTCTATGGACTCATAAGGTGCAAATTCTACTCGGGTAGTTTTGGCCTATTCATAGCCGGCACATCTTGCTCAATTTTTGTCTTAAATTTGCCGTCACGCGTTGCTCGCTGTTTATTGCAAATTTGTCATCACACGTTGCTCGACACGTCTTGTTCGGTTTTTGCTAACACTCTGCCCTCAAGTAATTTCGACATGCTTTGCCGAAATAATGCCAGTATACATGCTGCAATCCTATGATTGATTTTGCCGGCATATTGCTGACATTTTGCTATCAAGGTAGGATACTCTTTATGTTGTTTGTACTTTTATTATTTTTAAATAAGATAAGAAGAAAGGAAGACAGAAAGTACAGAAAGTGGGAAGAAAAAGAGAAAATATAAGGAAAGAAGATAATACACAGACAGATAAGTAAGAGAAAATAGAAACGAAGCAAGAAGATAGAAAATAAAAAGATGCAAGATAATAAAATTATATATAATTTTATTATATAAAATAAACTATAAATAAAAACTATTAGGTGTACAACTTTACTTCTGCCGTTTTCCTATAGATGGCTTTAGCGGTAAGTGGTGGTCGAAATAAATAGATCATAGACGTCATACAATAAACTTGGGCATCTGTCAACATAACCCCATAGAAACATTGGTCGATTTGTGTCTGCATCATAAAGTTATTCTCGATTGAAAATGTCAGTTTATAAGCCAAATTCTCGTCATTTGCGGGAGGTTTTAATTTTCTGCTTCAATATGAAGAAGTCTGCGGCTAAGGCTTATCGAATGCTCTCAAATACTTATGATGAGGTTGCTATTAATGAAAGAACGTGTCGTGAGTGGTTTCAACGCTTCAAGAACGGTGATTCTGACGTCAAAGACCGGCATAGCGGTGAAAGAGAGAAGGTTTTCGAAGATGCAGAATTGGAGGCATTAGTTGATCAAGACTCGTGTCAAATCAAGAATAATTGGCACGATCATTGGGAGTGACTCAACAACTCATTTCAAAACGCCTCAAAGCCATGGGAATGATTGACAGAAGGAAATTGGGTGCCGTACGAATTGAAGCCGAGAGATGTTGAACGGCGTTTGTTTGCTTGTGAACAGCTGCTTGAAAGGCAAAGACGGAAGGGATTTCTATATCGCATTGTGACTGGGGACGAAAAATGGGTTCATTACGATAACCCCAAGCGCAGTAAATCATGGGGAGTTCCCGGCCATGCTTCCACGTCGATGGCTAAACCGAAAATTCACGGCTTCAAGGTCATGCTCTGTATTTGGTGGGACCAGTTCGGCGTAGTGTATTATGAGCTGTTAAAACCGACTGAAACAATCACAGGCGATCGGTATCGAACGCAATTGATGCGTTTGAGCCGAGCATTGAAAGACGGCCGCAATATAACGAGAGACACGATAAAGTGATTTTGCAGCATGACAATGCTCGACCTCATGTTGCGAAAGTGGTCAAGACATACTTGGAAACAGGAAGTCCTACCCCATCCGCCGTATTCTCCAGACGTTGCTCCCTTTGACTATCACTTGTTTCGATCAATGGCACACGGCCTGGCTGACCAGCACTTCCGGTCTTATGAAGAAGTAAAAAATTGGATCGATTCGTGGATTGCCTCAAAAGATGACCAGTTTTTTCGACGCGGGGTTCGTACGCTGTCCAAAAGATATGAAAAAATAGTGGCCAGCGATGGACAATACTTTGAATCATAAATGTATACTAGTTTTTTACAATAAAGCTTCAAATTTCAGAAAAAAACGGCGGAAGCAAAGTACACCTAATATTTATTTTTATAATTCGAAAACTAAGCTTCGGATAACATTTTACAAAGAAAAATATCGTCTCAGAATTCCTCTAGGATTGACATTTCAAAAACAAGAAGTTATTTTAAATCACTCTGTATATTATATGTGGTATTAAACTTTTACAAAAATGGAACTAAAAGAAAATGAAGAAACATTATAATTTTTTTATTGTTTTTTTTTTGCTCCATGGTTGATATTTCTTCTCATTTCTGCGAATTTTTGTACGTACAATAACTTTCAACTCACGCCTCAAATTCTTGAACTCATCATTTGAAGCAACTTCTACATTGAAAAATTTCATAGCCTCTGAAAATATATTTTTCAATCAAATATAAAGCAAAAAAGTTAATAAAAGTCCACACAAAGGTTGATTGTGAAACACATTAAATCCGCAAATTGATCACGTGACGTTGAACAGCTCAAACGTTTCGGTCGTTATTCTGATCTTCCTTTATAGAAATTGAAAAAAAAAATAAAGCACAAATATTAAACGGCTACGCTTCATACCTCAACAATAACAAGATTAATTATTAAAGCAGTCTTTTTATCCTTTCGGTATTTTATATATTTAATCGTTTGTAGCTGTATAATACATGTGCATTTTTATTATTTTTAAAATTTCTATTGAAAAGAATTGGAATTACGAACGAAATGTTTAATTGATTTTTCGGGGGGTCCGATGCCTTATTTGGTTTTTAATATGTTTATTAACTATGAATTTAATGTGTTAATCAATCATCATATCTTGCGTGGGCTTATTTGCTTTTTTTTATTCCATGTTTGATTATGCATCTGAGAATTTATTAATTTATTTAGTACATATTTTTCAATTTACTCATAGCATAAAGGACACTAATTATTTAGATGATTTATATACATACCATTAAATCGTACATCATCATTCTCAAAAAAGAGAGTATCTTTATATCCAAACATGCTATTTATACGATTATTATTTTCAGATTGTTCGACAATTTGTTCATCCAAATCAAATATTTCATTCTCATCTTCGTTATCAAATGAATCATGTTTAAACATATTATTCGCACTAAAATGAAATCTATACTTTCCATCTATATTATTATTTTTCGTCATAGATACGTTAAAATTCTCGATATTGCAGTTCTGGGCATCACGATCATCGACATCTGAAAATATAAAAGTAAAAATTTACTAAAATAACATAATAAAAATATAAATATATTTAATCTTGGAATGAGGGGTCTTGAAATAAGATATAATTTTGGAATAAGAATATAAAAATATAAATACATTTTATCTTGGAATAAAAATATAAATACATTATATTTTGGAATAAATACTTGTATCGTTTTCTCTCCCGCATGCTTTTAGTAAGCTAAATTCTTTGTTTTGTCTTAAGCTTTCTATCAAGGTATCAGATACAGTGTAATAAATATCTTTTGATACTTTTATGGGTACAGGTTCTTCAATTTTTGTTTTTTCACACTTCTTTTTCTTGGTACATTCCTTCTTTGTCTCTGACTCTGTAGATGTTATTTCATATTCAGAATGTTTTTTTTCGGACGGATCATACCGTATTATCAACCTTTCCCTGTGTACATAAATGTTGTTATTATTGTATATCAATAATTCAATTATTGCCTGGAAACTTTGTACTTCTTTATATTCTTACTTAGATATTTTAATTTTTTGACTTTTTATTGTAAGAGGTGCTCCCAAAACACTTTCTAAAATATCTAGTTCTCTCTTTTTCTCTTTTTGCAAATCACATTTAACATCAGCAGCAATAACTTTAGTTTTATTTTGATAATCATTTTCTACGAAGCGTTCATCCAAAGTAAATCGTGTATCATGACCTAGAGTAACCTGTTATAATAAACATATTGTATTAATAAAAATAAATATTTTCTTACTTTACGTCAACGATTTACAAATATTTGACCAAATTAATGGAAATTTTAATGTTTTTTACTTTTATAAAATAATCTCAATAGACTTCACAATTTATGCAGGAAAAAACATGTAACCGCGATGCGTCGCGTTCCGGATCACTCGCCGGTTCGGGTTCGTAGGAGGCGGAATAATTTTAGAAACAGTGATTTAATAATTGAACTGAATTATACATTTTAGAATCAGTTAAATGTTGTATATTTAATTCCGATGTTGGGTGTCGACACCGTTGGTTTTTGTCGGTACAATAGGCTAGAGGCCTTGTTTAGGCGATAGCTTGCGAGAGGCTATGCGCAGTGCGCGGGATGCGGACGATGTTATTGTCGCGTCGAGAGTTTGTCTGTTGACGCTTTCAGCCGTTCGCCTCTTTAATACTGGTTTACAGTTTCTTTCGGTTATTTTGCTGCTCTTCGATGCAGCCCGGTTTATGCCGTCGGTCGGTTGCTGTTGCAGCTGAGCTGCGTGCGGTGTATCGCCCCGATGGCGATACTTCAGATCTCCTATCACGGAGATGCAATGCGGTTTCGTGTAATGCAGTGCGGAAGTCCGCCTGTGTACGTGGAACCTTAGTTATCAGTTCTGCCTTTATTATTGACAAGATTGGCTCGTTCTAACCCGATCGCGGATGCGGTAAAGACGGTGCTGCGGGACGCGCCTATGCGTCGCGGTAACGGTATGATTCTGATCTCGCTTCCGGAGATCGGTTCGGTGAATATCGCGGAGGTCGACTCGTGTCCCTGCGAGTCGATGACGATGTGATCCTGACGCGGATCCTTAAGACGTAGTATCGAAGCTGCGCTGCAACGGAGCGCGACTTCGCGTATACGGTGATGAGTTCGCACGCGGCGACTCGATATCGATGTGATCTCGCTCGCGCTAAGGTGACGGCGAGATCTGGTTTGCGGTATGAAGATTGCGTTTAAGCGCCCTTCCGGTGTGTTGATTCTAGGCCCTTCGGCGGCCGTGGAATCTGACGGATAACGGTAGTTTATCAGTGTCGGCGTCACGAATCCGCGAGCAGAAATCTGCCAGAAACGGTACAGAGAACAATGTCGATGTCACGAATCCGTGGATCGACGGCGGAGTAGTTGCTGTCGCGAATCCGCGAAGTAACCTGCCAGGAACAGTGTTTGCGGATCTCTCTCGAGAGCGGATGATCGGAGTTTAATTCTCTCGGAAGAGCTGCAGATCGGATCTGACCTCAATTACAGATTCTCGGCGTTTTATATCTTGCGAATCACGCTTGATTCGCTGTTTACCGCGGTTGTTTGGCGGTCGCGTTCTTTACCGTAAGGACGGTTTGTCCTCTCGCGTTTTTCAGTCGCGTTATTATGCGCTTTTCCGTGACGATATTTTAGATCGTTACAAACACTTCAAGATTAACGTTACCAAGTTGCTATTTATTTTAATTCATAAGAATATCTTTTATTCTATACACACTCTTCAAAGTATTTAAGTTAAATCTAACATATTTTTGAATAAATAAGAGCTCAAGATATTGGAACTCACAGATATTGGAGTAGATATTTTGAACCAATTATTGGAAGGATAATAATATTTAACAGTGTCAAATATTATTTTTTGCAATTATAATTTAGAATTTTAAAAAATGGGTAATCTCTCTTGGTTTAATTAAGGGGATTAATTAATATTAATATTAAAAATTGGGATTTAAGATTGGTATGACGTGAAAAGTTGATTCACTGCATACGTTATAAAGACTGGAAAACCTATCCAATGTGTGCATGAACTTTGTTAATCATTATTATCTTATCAATATTTGATTTAAAATATTTGCTCCAATATCAGCACTAAGCTTTCATTTATCCAAAGATATTATATTAAATACTTTTTATATTCAATTACATTTCTATTGATCTACATGAAACATTATTTGCACTAATAGATACTATTCCATTACCAGCAGATTGTAAGAGTTACAGAGGAAAGTATATCGGAAGCCGGAGTTTGCTGGGCTGGGACTCGAACCCGGGTCTTTCGCTTGCCGGGCGACTGCTCTAAACCACTGAGCTACCCAGGCTCCCGCTCCAACACACTTTCTCTCGTCTTCTTATATTGATGTTATTGTCAAGATGCCGCGTGTTACCTCAGTTCGGCTTACATTTTACAGTTCGGCCAGCCTGACATCACATTCGTTCCGAATGTGCTTTTAATTACTTTAAACTTTACGTGTGTCTAATATCCGCTCACCGGCCAGTGTCCCCTATTCTATAAATCTAAACCATAACTGAGAACACCCCTGGATCTTGCGCGATATTTTTTTGACAACACTAAACACTAATCCAAACTTAACGCGTGCCTAATATCCGCTCACCGGCTAGTGCCCCCTTATCTATAAACTTTAAACCATAACTGAAACACCCCTGAGTCTTGCGCGATATTTTCAACGACGCCAACATTAAACACAATTCAAATGGCAGTTCCGAATCGATCAATCCCGAACTCTGACGAGGAAACACGATGAGTACGCTAACCCCACTTCTGAATTGTAGGAGTCGGAGAGAAAAATATATTGGAAGCCGGAGTTTGCTGGGCCGGGACTCGAACCCGGGTCTTTCGCTTGCCGGGCGACTGCTCTAAACCACTGAGCTACCCAGGCTCCCGCTCCAACACATTCTCTCTCGTCTTCTTATATTGATGTTATTGTCAAGATGCTGCGTGTTACATCCTACAAAATATTACAGATTTAAATTTGAGTTTTGATCTATTTTTTAATAATCATGTTCAAACGATTACTTAATCAAAGTTTAAAATATTTGATTTTTATTCAACATTATCTAAGCACTTCAAAATTGTGAGCATTTTAAGAGTACTATACATGGTACTTTTGTATAAAATTATCATATACAGTATTGTGTCTTATTTGATATTTTAGGCTTTCGCGGTATCCATGCATATTAGACATGACATAACAAATCCAAAATATGACAGACAACAAATTTCCCACCACCAATACTCCTGCCAATCCCCCCACATTCCTGTTTCTTCCCTCCTCACCCCTCTATACCAACCATTATATAAAGGAAGACCTCTCAGGAGCAACTCGGCATCATTCTTCCCTGATGACCCTCTATCTTCTTTTAAGGGATTGCAAGTAATTATCTTTTTAATTAATTATTGTGTTTAATTGGCAATTAATATTCAATTGAAGACAATTTAATCGACAATTAATTTCAGTGAATTAAATCGAAAACCATTCGATTAATGATTCGTTTCAACGAATTCAATTAAAGATTGTTTAATTGATAATTGATATGAGCAAATTCAATCGATTCAATCGAAGATTACTTGGTGATAATTGATGTGTTCAGTACTCTTCTCAACGCGGGTCCTATTTAATTACTCAGATAGCACGATGAATTCTTTAAGTGTTCCTAAAGTTTTCTCCTTTCTTGAATTATACTTCCTTAGGAATTCGTGGAAGAATACTATAAGAATGATTTAGGAAGTTACATGCACCATGATTGAAATTCCTCAGAACTTCTTAGAGTATTTGTATAGAATTACTTCAACTCAAAAAGATTTCTTCGGATTTAATAAATTTTATTGTAACCATACGAAAGATCAGAAACTTTGGCCGAGAGTGCTTGTGTGTATCTGTAGATGTCCACTTTTAATGCCATATGAGATGAAAAACATCAAACTCGGCTGGGATCGAACTCGGGTCTTCCCGCTTGCCAAACAACCGCTCTTTCCATTGAGCTATTTAAAACTTCATGTTTGTGACATCTATATACCTACTAGTGAAAAATGATTCGTTGATTGACGTCAAAATAATATCAAATTGACGTCGGTTTGACGATTTCAACGTCTATTTGGTGTTATTTTGACGTCAATCAACAAATCATTTTTCGCTGGATACATACTGTTCTAACTGAGCTTCAAAGTAAGTAAAGCGTACTTTCAAATATGTAATTCAAAATCCAAGAATAAATGTCTTTCAAATAATGCGATTGAGTTTGTTAAAACTATATATGGATTTTAGAAACATGAATACAAACTTAAGGATAAAATATATTTCGTATAAATCTATTTATTATTGATACAAATGAAAATTTTATATATGAAAAGTTATTTTAACACCAATTCCCTTTCTTTGTCCTATTATATAAAACTATATAATTAATTCCACAAAATATAAATAACTGTGAATAACAATAAATTAATATATGTAAATATGTAAATTAATTATTATACACTCACTGGCATGTACTGAATATAGGTGAAAAAAGTAGTTGCTACAAACAAAATATTTGTAAGGGCTAAGGCAGATAAACGAGACGTAAGTGTCGTAGTCGTAGACTAAAGGCAGAGAAAAATGTAAAAGTCATGAGAGGCTATTAGCCTCACGTTTATGTTTTTTTGTCTTACTTTACGTCTATGATTACGACGCTTACGTCTCATTTTCTGCTTTAGTCCTAATTCCTCACGAATTCTCAAAGTGTTCTAGGAATTAAGTTGCGAAGTATTCGCTATAATGAAGTCCTAAGGAATATTTCAAGACGAACTTACTGTGGTTAATTCTTCAAGAATTCTTCGGGTATTCATTTTTCTAGTTCTATATCTATTCTTTAAAATGAATTCTTTAGGAACTTCTGTTCATCTTTGTGCTATCTGGGTATCGATTAGAGATGGGACATTGAACAGAAATAATCGATTATAAGCTATAATCGGTATCGGTATCGCTCATCTCTAGTATCGACATTTTCCACAATGCCACAATGCTATGAGAATGAATATTATCCACAAAATCAATTGTATAATCTTAAGTAATCGAACACTCTTAAGTAATCGTTAATTAAATTTGCTAAGTTAAATTAATATTTAATTGAACAATCTTTGATTTCTTTCGCTTATATAAAATATCAATAAAATAAGTTTTAATTGAATTTATTGTAATTAATTAAACATTCTTCTATTTATTTTGTTAAAATCAATCGTTAATTATTGAAAAATATTTGTTTTAATCAATTATTAAGTTGAGAAAAATGTAATTAACATTTTCACAACTCTTTCTCTTATCTCATCGCTCCGCGCACAACCTACAAACTGCTCGAGACACAGGAGCATATAACTTGTAACCACATGGTTTCTAATAGTTTTCTACTATTAAAAACGTGCCGAGTTCTGTTTTATACTTTGGTTTCTATATTATGACTGCTGCTATATAATGGCTGATGTGCAACATCACTTTTTGAAAATAGTATAAATAAGTACATGTTAGTTGTCATATATCTGTCAGCTTATTTTATATTAGCTTAATTTAGAAAAGATATTAGCTTACTTTAGAAAAGATAAGAATTTAATAGATTTCTCTTTTATATTCGAAATTCTCAATTGTGCCATTTGCTGTTGTAATATTTTAAAATGGTTTATGAACTTATAGTATACTTCCTAGAAATTTTAGATACTTTACTGCTTTCCATGTTGAGAAACATAGAAGGTCGTATAGAAATTTTATCATATTAGTGAACTAAGTACATACTAAGTATACTGAGTAATTTAGTATGGTAAACTTCTATAATGGCCATATCTTTTAAGTACTTATGCAACTTATACAACTTTTGTCATAATTTATAATTAATCTTATATTTCTTATTTATTTTTCTTTCTTCATCCTTACATTGCTATATTTCTATTCATTATATAAGAGGTTTTTCTCTCATAAGTAAATGATACTTAAATGATTAATATTATTATCACACATTGGCTCAAAGTACCATCACTAATATATTTATATCATACCAAATAAACATAGAAAATATCTTTAACTTCTATTTAATAAATTTATTTTGATGTGTAGCTTCTTAAGAAAGATAAAATCTTTTGTCTTTATATGACTATATAAAGGACGAATAAAATGGATTGATTTTTACTTAAAAAATGTAATGTAAGTTATACATATAATTTCAAATTTTTTGGGTCCCTGAATATGATTGTAGCATTTTTATCTGTTTAAAACAATGGAAAAATGACTAAAATTTGTCTTAAAGGAGTTAAAAGTTACTTTTAATAATAATTCAGTTAGTGAGGAAAGGCACTTTTAATAGTAATTCAGTTAGTTCCAATTATTTAATTACTTGTATTATAGTTTAGTTTTATAACTTTTTTTCATTAAAAATCTAAGAAACACTTCAAAATAAAACACTTTAGAAATGCTAAATCTAATATAATAAAGTTAATATGATAAAAAAATTAAGAAAGATAATTTCTTACTTAAAGAATTTTAAAAGTCTCTCATTAAATATGCATAAATCTGTATACATTCTGGAGTTTTAAGGATGTTAAAATGCTAATAGTGATTTTCCATAGCACTTTAGAAGTTGTACTGAAAAAACTAAAAGGAAATTTAGTATTTCTAAAGTATCTAATATGTTGAGGTATTTCTTTAATTTTCTATGAAAAATGTTATGAAACTAAACTATGATACAATTAATTAAATAATTGGAACAAAATCATCACTAATCAAATTATTACTAAATATAATTTATTTCGACTCTTTTAAGATAAATTTTGACTACTCTCACAGATTTAGGCAAATAAAAATGCTAACATCATATTCAATGAATCAATATGTTAATATAAATATATTATATTGAAGATTAACTCGTTTCATTTTAGTTCACTCTGGAGTTCTTGACCAAGAACTGCTTAGTAAACTATTAGTAAATATTCATGAAACTTACTTTAAATTACTTAGTAAATATTCATGAAAAAATTTAAAACAACTCCTACACAGCAGCCAAAAAAATACATATCTATATATGACACTGACCTTTTCATATTTTCTAGTGTTGAATGTATTCTTATCCCATAGAGGATCTTCATTATTATCATTGCTGTCATCTTCAAATAAATTTACCTTTTCTTTTTCTCTTGGTTTTGAATCTTGTTGCTCACCAAAGTTATTGTCAAAGATAATTTTTTTATTGTTTGTAATATTATACTATAAAGATAACATTTATATAAATAAAAATTAGTAAGTTATGATATTGTCAATATATAATTACAAAATTAATCCACTTACTAAGTTAGCCAGTGCTTTCTGTATAATCTGTTCTCTTTTTTGAAATATCTGTTTTTTTTCCTTTAAGGATTGCAGGCGCTTCCATTCAGCTACATCAATCACACTCATATTCAAGGTTATGACTGGGAAAAAAAGATCAATTAACGAAATCTGAGTCTAAATAAAGATGTATTTTTATCGTGCTAATATAAATTTTTGTTTTTTTAATTTAACTGCGCTGAAACGTCACTCGAGTACTCTCCCTCTCTTTTTACCTCACTCTTGTAATTCACTCACTCCAACGCAACGGGTACATCTGGATAACGTTTCCGAACGCAGCCCAGGAATACACACGTGCACACGCGTTATACATGCTTTCCTCTCTCTCTCTCTCTCTCTCTCTCTCTCTCTCTCTCTCTCTTTCTCCCTCTTAAACCAGCGGCACACGATGCTTATTTTCGGCCGGTATTCATAGGCTTGGTTTACATCGTACAATTGATACGCGTACTAAATAGTAACTTTCTATTAGATAATCTTAATATCGATGTATATAAATAACGATATTTTAAGCTGGTATAATACTCATTAACAAAACATATTGTATTGATTGAATACGTCGCCGTTGATATGCATTGTCGATATTAATAGCATATTCGACTGGCTCTGGATTAACCCACTTTGGATTATTCAGCCTACGTTTATTGGTTGAACAAGTACTTATAAGCTTTATGATTGGCTAGTAGAGACTAATGACGTCATTAATCGCTCTCGGAGCGATTAACCCAGGGTCAGTCGAACACGCTATAAGATTATCTAATAGAAAGTTACTATTTAGTACACGTATCAAGTGCACAATGTAAACAAGCCATAGGCTGCGTTTCTTTTGGGCGTTTTAAGTGCTTATAAGCGTCACTTTATCTTTCTTCCGTATCTAATGAGCGATAAAGATAGAATGGCGCTTACAGCGCATGAGTGTCCAAAAGGAACGCAGTCATATGATTTGTAGAATCATATGACTGCGTTCCTTTTCGCCGGGGAATTCCGCCGGGGAAATCCGCGCGATAGCCAATCAATATGTTGTTTTTCCATAAGAGCTAGAAGGTTATTACGGAAAGCAGCATATTGATTGGCTATTGCACGAACTTCCGCCGCGTGGCAAGCATTACCGCGTCCTGTGTGCAGGAGACATTAGGGTATATTGATGACAAAACAAGATAGATTTAAAATCTATTTTAATAATGTTAGTATAGTTTATTGTAATTAAAAGATATAATGCAAGAACATTTATATAAACTTAAAACAATAAATTATTATAGTACAGAAAAATTTCAAATTCTTTTTACCTATCAATGAATATGCTACGACAATGTTTTCAAAAAATGTGGGATCTTTATATGATGTTCCCGTGGAGGTTGGAAGTTATCCTCATCATCTTCATCAGATGGGTCATCAAAGAATATTTCCCATATTTCTAGTACATCCATTTTTTATCTAAGAATGTTTAGTTGAAATGAGTATTAAAGTATCAAAGAAATAACCCAAATAATGTTAATAAATACTAACATTAAGAAACGTTTGTAGAATTACATACAATTTAAAACAAACTGTGCAAACAAATCTATCTTGTTCTGTCATCAATATACCCTAATGGCATAATTTATTGTGGACTTGCATATGCACGAGTCATGTAAAAACAATACTTGCAAATAGGTTAAAACAGTATGACTTTTTTACTTTAGGATAATATTTGAAAAATATAATATATATTTTAATGATTATAAAACCCAGATAGCCAAACCTGTGCGAGCAGATTTTACGCAGAGTCTGTCAACAGTATCTGTTGACAGAATGGCAACAGACTGCACACAGAAACTGTTTTAGCAGTCTCTGACGATAGACTGACGACAGACTGCGCGCAGAGCCTATCGACAGATTCTGACGACAGACTGACGGCAGATTACGCACAAATTCTGTTTCCTAGATAGGCTATTTAATTCTATTAAGGGCTATATGTACGTTATTAAATGGGGCAGTTTCACATACACACTATGTAAAACTGCTGCAGAGAAGTCAAGATAATTATATTGTGCAATAATTGTACACATATACACAATAAAAAACAATGTTTATATTTTAAAATTGTATTACACATTTTTTATAAAAAACAACATTTTTTATAAAAAACAACATTTTTTATAAAAAATAGAGAAATAACGAGTACAAGTATAGAATAGTACAACGGTTAAATGGCCATTTAAAGGCGTACACATGTCATTCCTGGTAAAAATTGTTCTCATAATTTTTCATACAATTTCTCATCTTATTATTTTTTTAAATGTTGTTATGTCATTAAATCCGATTTAACCGTCATGCAATAAGTATTGAAGGCAGCAGCACCGAATAAAATATTAGTCTCGCTATGTAAATAACTTTTACAGAATTTTTTTGATGGTTTATTTAAAAATATATCATGCTTCGATTTTGATAAAACTTAATACAATCTGAACGGGACGATCGACCAAATTAATTCGCACATGTAAAAGTACAGTATTTTATTAACATGATAGAAAAATGTCATTATCTGCTGTTTTATTGCAGTAATTTTCTATACATTCCTTGGTAGAAAATTAATTTCGAATTATCGTACCAGTCTTTCTTACATTATTTATACGCTAAACGGTTTCGTCTATATTTTGCGGCTTAAAAGGCGAACAAACTATAATATTTTTCTTCCTTAAACTTTAAATTGGCAATACAAAGCGCTTTTTATCAAGTGAGGAATTGGCGTAGTGTCTAAGGCGACGGATTATCCAAAAGATGTCTTCAGTTCAAGTTCGAATCTCACTAGAGAAAATATTAAAAATTATGAAAAAATAATGTAGAAAAATTTTTTTTGTCATAGTATTTTATGAGTATTTATGAGAAAGCGCTTATTCTATGAGTAATTATGAAAAATTATGAGAAAATTTAATTGAAGAACCTACGAAACGACAAGATCTGCGCGCAATTTGCAGCCAATCTGCCGTCATAGTCTGTCGATAGGTTAGGGTCGCAGACCCTGTCAACAGTCTGGCGGCAGATTGGAGACGCAGATGTCTATGGATCTGTCGACAGATCCTGCTCGGATTCGACAGATCCTGTCGACAGTCTGCGCGCAGATTGCTTACTGGGATCGAGATATATAAAATATTATAGATGTACAGTGGCGATTATAAGTGAAGTTCGAAGACGACATATAGCTGCTGCAATTGCAGCAATGTATTTATTAAAAACGAAAAAAATACAAGACGAAAAAGTTAATCAATTTAATATAAATAAATAAGATACAAAGAGTAGCCTATAGGTTATAACCTATAGGCTACTCTTTGTATCTTATTTATTTATATTAAATTGATTAACTTTTTCGTCTTGTATTTTTTTCGTTTTTAATAAATACATTGCTGCAATTGCAGCAATGTATTTATTAAAAACGAAAAAAATACAAGACGAAAAAGTTAATCAATTTAATATAAATAAATAAGATACAAAGAGTAGCCTATAGGTTATAACCTATAGGCTACTCTTTGTATCTTATTTATTTATATTAAATTGATTAACTTTTTCGTCTTGTATTTTTTTCGTTTTTAATAAATACATTGCTGCAATTGCAGCAATGTATTTATTAAAAACGAAAAAAATACAAGACGAAAAAGTTAATCAATTTAATATAAATAAATAAGATACAAAGAGTAGCCTATAGGTTATAACCTATATAAATATGCTGACCATATATAATATATCCCCAGTAAGCAATCTGCGCGCAGACTGACATCAGACTGTCGACAGGATCTGCCGAATCCGAGCAGGATCTGTCGACAGATCCATAGACATCTGCGTCCCCAATCTGGCGCCA